CTTGCACAGGTTCTGCATGATCCTCTTCAATAATATCCTCTGCTTCTCAATCGGGCTCAAAATGATAAGCAATATAGACGACGCCATTGTTTACAATACAACCGGAGCACATGCCGCTGAGGTGAGGGGTGGCACGTTTAGACGCGCACTAGAGGTGCTTTAGCCAATCATAACACACTTGGCTAGCTAACCAATCATAGCCCATCGCCTATTTCTGATGGAGGGGCTTCATAAAAGAAGGAAATGATCATCGTGTTTCTCAGAGAAGGGACAGAGCGGTCTGGAATAAAGGTAAATTATGTGAAAAATAATGCGTTTTTAAAAAAATGAAGCATTAACACATGTTAGACTGCACCCCATAAACACAATCAAGCCTAGAAAAAAAACAGTGAACCACCCCTTTAAGAAAATGTAAATTGATTCCATTTAGTCATGTTCTCTTGCCATATATACAAAATTCAAGCCTATAGGTATATACAACATAGAAGCATTCATACAATGCAATATGCATGATGAGAACTTTTGCTTTAAACACTTGATGATGCATCATGAATTATTAGCAAAAATATGAAACACGTACACAACCTTCAAAAGTATGGGGTTGGTAAGATTTTTGTGTTTTTTTAAATAAATCTCTTTTGCTCACCAAGGCTGCATTTATTTGATAAAAAAAAAAAAAATACAAAAAAACAGTAATATTGTAAAATGTGATTATATTTTAAAATGACTGTTTTCTGTTTTAGTATATTTTAAAATGTAGTTCATACTTGTGATGGCAAAGCTAAAACTTCAGAACGTCAGCAGCCATTACTCCAGTTCTCAGTGTCACATGATTAGGGGTGTAACGATTCACTCAACTCACGATTCGATTCAATTCACGATTTTGATTTCACGATTCGATTTTCTCACAATTTTTTTTAACAAAATGAGATTGAAGGCATTATACAGTAAATGAAAAGGTGTCGTTTTATTAGGCTATTACTGCACGTTTCTTTGTGAAATTGAAATATAACAAAACTAAATTGAAATTTTAAAACAAACCCCAAATCAAACAAGTAAGTTACACAAATAAAATAAATCTCTTAATATGAACAAACTTAAGGCTTTGTCTGTGCTCTTCCAAACAAAGAAGCAGCATACATGCAGCATGAGTAGTTTTTAATCTAAATTAGACTGTATAATTTCGAAATTTGAAGCAAAAACAGAATGGTCTGACATTAGTTTTGTGAAACTATACTACATAAAACATATCTGAACGAAACCGCAGACGAGCTGAATGAGACGCAGATTCACTCGCTGACAGCAGGTGGCGCTCATGAACAGAAATGATACAGTGTTTCCTGGGTTACCGCTGTAAACAAAGAAGAGCTTTATGAACACTACTTTAATATGCATTGTTCAGAGGCAAGATGAAAAGAAAATACCATGTAAACTTTTCTAAAGATAGTCAGTTCCCCTCAGAGATACATTCATATAAACGTCTACTCCAATTGTATCGCCATTTGTTTGGCATCTCAACCGATTTGAATCGTCACTATTTGAATCGATTTTCAACCGGCTCGCGGTTAATCGTTACATCCCTACACATGATCCTTAGAAATCACTCTTAATATGCTGATTTGCTGCTCAAGAAACATTATTATCAAGGTTGTGAAACAGTTGTGGTGCTTAATAGTTTTTGTGGAACCTGTGAAACATTTTTTCAGGATTCTTTGATGAATAGAAAGTTCAAAAAAGAACAGCATTTATTTCAAGTAGAAATATGTAACAATCCAAAAGTATTTACTCTCAATCAATTTAATATATCCTTGCTGGATAAAAGTATTAATTTCTTTAAAAAAAAAAATCTTACTCTGACTTTCCCTAAACTTTTGATGGGTAATGTATTCAATTATGCTTACAAATTAAATATAATTTTATTTAATAAAAAACATATTCAAAATTTTAAGTATATTATATTTATAGAATATATTTTGTAACACTTTCTATTTTGTTTGTGTGAATGAACAGAATCCATAACCTGGACATGACTACAGCAGTCAGTTACCTCTCTTCCACTGATGTTGCTATGCAGATGTTGGGAGCAGCCTACATACAGCATCAGTGTTACCACAGCAATGAAGCCAAGACCATGGTAAAAATATATCATTTATTTATTAGATCAGAAATATACATTTGAAATAAAGGACACTATGGAAATAACACATACTGTACTATGACAGAACTAAGGAAATGAGAATAGAGATCCAATTTTACCTTTATATTTCACACTAGTCGGTGAAACCTCATGCACTTATGAATGTCCTTGTGAAAGATATCCAATAATGTTATGATTTTTCCAAATAACCACTAATATTTGATTTTTTTTAAACTTCGAAACATTTCACAATTCAGTCGAAATCAACAACAAAATGATATCATATGTTTTAACGTTGTGATTGGTTACAGTGTCATTTTTTCGATTTCCTTGGGGTCCATCCTGGGCAGACAGCAATTTTTGCTTAAGTATATTATCGAGGCTTTCAGTCCAGGGCAGCAACAAAGCTCTGTTTGGACAGGATTAGAGGGCGTACACACAGGATGTGTTCTTCCTTTCAAAAGCAGCTAGATGAAGTGCATCCTACAGGAACAGAATGCCGGGCCTAGTGATGTGTTTTAAAAAGTTGAACTCTTGTGAACTTCACACTTTGTCTAAAAATCTCAAAGCTCATGGCCCGAGACACTGAAGAAACAGGCAGCAGCAACCAAAGACTGATGCATAAGTACAATAACCCATTGTGCAAAAAATAGCGCAGAATGAATCCTCCTCAAAGATTGATTTATCTGTTGAGTGCTCGAGTAGACAAAATGACCAAAAATCCTTTTAAAGTCTATAAACATAAACCATGTTCAAGGGAAGGAATTAAGACAAATAGACAACTCTACAACAAAAAGTATATCACGTGAAGTTTGTTTAAAAAAAAATTTTGTTGTCAGCAAAATATATATTTGCATAATTAATGGAGCATGGTAAAGCTCAAGGCTAAGCTGATTTTCCGTCTCTATTGTTATATGTTATACTCAAGCCAGATGGAGAGAATACCTTCACCCTGCCTTTAATCTTTATCCTGGACCTCAGGGGGCAGAACATTCCGCCTGAGAGCACATGATGGCAAAACACAGACAGATGTCTGAGCAGGTTGCCATGTTGTGCTGAAAAAAGTGTTCAAGAGATTAACGATTTTTGTCTATGAAGTGTGAAACACAAAAATGGGATTCAGAGACATGGGATCACTTAGGAATCAGGATATTTCTCACAGAGCTAAAGTAGATGTTTTTCTTGATGCACAGGTGCGCAGTTTGAAGGGCATCTCAGCATTAGTACAGCTGTTTAGCAGTGAGAACCAAGAAGTTCAGCGCTATGCGACAGGTGCTACACGCAACCTCATCTACGAGAATATGGACAACAAGACAGCACTTATCGAAGCTGGTGGAATTAGCAAACTAATTGGTGCTTTAAGAGAACCCGATGATGAACTACGCAAAAATATCACAGGTATGTTTGTGTGAGTTTTGTTTTTCAGAGCAAGGCAAATTTTTGGACTGTGAACTTCACTTTGCAAATACAAAGTGGCACGCATGTCTTAGCTAGAAGTCAAGTATATACATCAGTATTGTTTTAGTCCAGAAATTCCACCTGCATCATTCGGGTGATTTTTAAGTGCCAAGCAGAATTGTCAGCGCAGACAGGAAGAGAGCTAAGCGGAACAGTGAGCGAGTGTATTTGGAGAAACAGAGAGAACAGAAAAGAAAAAAGTGGTCTGGCTGTTTCCTGGAATCGCTCTAAGTCTCAGATGCAGTGGGAAGTAGACTCCCAGAGGCCTTTGTGCTTTGTGAGCTCTGCTATCACCCCCACCCCCTCACGCACCCACACGCACTTAGTAAACAATCCTTGACATTCTTTCCTGCTGGACTCAGGGTTGCCAGGTCTCTTAGTGACATTTCATGACTTGTACACTTAACTGTGTTGGCCTTAAAACCTCACAAGTCACTAGCAGCTTAGTGCTCTGTGTAGTAAACATCCCCATACTAAATAACATTTGAGAACTTAGACTATAAATGTAAATGTGCTGTTGTTTTTAAAATAATTTTTATACATATTAATCACACATTAACATATTATTCTTGATTAATATAGATATTTCTACTAGATTACTGCTTATAATATGTGCAGTAGTTCTCAATTATGCACTTTTTGCAGCATTTGAATTTGAATGCTTGACTACTACTTTACCATGACTGGGCGGTCATATGTTTAAAATATTCATCCCTGCAATGTCAGTTCGTCAATTATTTTCATAATGAAATGAATAAACATGTTTTAAATTTTGAAATGCATTTTTTTTTTACATAAATCCATTTAGATTTATGAATGAATTATTTTGTCTGAATGGCAGAAATCCACATGATTTTTTATTAGAATTTTTTACAAACCACATGGTTTAGGTGGTGAAATTGGATTAAAGTAATTTTTTGGGATACATATATGTAGATACAAAGTATGCTGTAGTAGTGGAAGATGAGATTTAAAAAAAAAAAAAAACAACCTTTATATATATATATATACATATATATGATATAACTAAAATGTAATAGGCTATTAGTTGTTACACTCCATCAGCATTTACGAATATATGCTATATTTATATGCAAAAAGCTAAACTCATTAAAGAGGACTAAACATTTTAAATTATAAGTGTCTTTGACAAATCTCTCTCTCTCTCTCTCTCTCTCTCTCTCTCTCTCTCTCTCTCTTGGTCTCTGTAGGGATTTTGTGGAACCTGTCTTCTAAAGACAGTTTGAAGGAGAGGCTGGCCAGAGAGAGTTTGTCTGAGCTGACAGAGAGAGTGCTGGTGCCTCTGTCAGGCGGAGGAGATGCTGGTGTCATTCAACAGAGTGCGTCTGAGGCTGATATTTTCTACAACACCACAGGTTGCCTCAGGTACAGACCTCACATATACATGCATGCATTTAAATGCATTTGAGTTCTATGCATGCACAGCATAGTTAAAAATTAACTAGAGCATGGGGCACAAATGTCAGCGAATTTAATAAAAAGCCCCAGATATTTCAATTGTGGGAGCATAAAATGTATCCAAAATGAATGCTTAATTTTAACATTAAAAAAAATAAAATTATAAATTGTATATTTCAGAATATACAACATATATATATTTCAGCCTGTTATTGTGCATAATGTCAGGTACTTGTATATTTGTTAAAAATGTACCTGAAATAAAGCAAGAGTTAATGCACTGTACACACAATCACTCACATGCTTTCAATGGTTAACAACCTCAAATATGAATGTTTATGGCTGATGTTTATTGATGTTTATAATGTTACTGATGTTTATTATTATGTTTATTATTAATGGTTTTTGCCACCTTTTTGTAATATACAAGTTTGTAAAAGATGCCATACAAAGAGTATACAACGTGTAAGAGTTCCCGCTGGAAAGATTTATAGACACAATAAAGATTAACCTCCTAAAAATATTTTAACACAAATGCATGAAATAAAACATCTTGACATGTTAACAACACCCCTTTATATGCATTGAAGGAACCTGAGCTCAGTGAATGAAAGAACCAGGCAGCAGATGCGGGAAACGCGAGGGCTGGTAGACTCTCTGGTTGGATACATCGAAAACTCCCTACAGGAGGGAAAAGGAGAGGACAAGGTCAGACCTGGGAATTGACATTCAAATGTTGTGCTTGCTAATATGCTAGCCTTGAGCCAGTGCACAAAGTGCATCTTTGCCAGTTGAAAACCATTCTAGATCTACATTAGTTCTCACATGGCAATTAGAAAACAATTGTTATCTATAAATCTATATAAATCAAATATAGTCAAATATAGATATATAATCAAAACATCATTTACAAAAGCATTTGAAATCCTCATTCTGTAATTCTGTGCCTCTAGGGTGTAGAAAACTGTGTGTGTGTCCTGCGCAACCTGTCGTACCAGCTGTACTCTGAGATCCCTGCTTCAGTTCAGATGCGTTTGGAAGGACCCACTCGAGCACAGGACACGCGGCACAACGACCCCATCAGCTGCTTCACACCACAGAGCAAGAAAGCAAAAGATGTCAGTCACTCACCCACAATCTGCTATCACATCAACATACATTTTAACGTATTAGCAATATTATTAAACTTACTTTCCTTTCACATATTATGTATTTTATATTGTTCACATTTGATTTTTCCCAAACCTAATCTAATATTTCCCGAAATTATTTGTTGACATTTTTTTTATTTTACAACAATATATCCTTTTTTATATAGGATATTCTTTGAATATACAGTATATTGTAAATAATAATACATACTCTACCATTGAACGTTTTAAGAACGGGGCGATTTTTTAAATGTTTTTAAAAGAAATCACTTATGCTCATAAGGCTATATTTATTTGATCAAAATATAGTAAAAACAATATTATTGTGAAATATTATTACAATTTAGAATAACCGTTTTCTGTTTTAATATTTTTTAGAAAAATGTATTTTTGTTGTAGGAAATCAGAATTTTCAGCAGCCATTACTCCATTCTTCAATATCACATTATCTTCCAGAAATCATTCTATCATTTTTTATTGTTATATTATATTATTATAAATATTGAAAACAGTTGTGCTGCTTAATATTTCTGTGGAAGCAATAATACACTTTTTTCAGAATTTTGTTGATGAATAGGAATTTAAAAAGAGCAGCATTTATTTGAAACTTTACTTTCATTTTTTTTGCAGCACTATAAATGTCTTTACTGTCACTTTTGATCAATTTCATGCGTCCTTGCTAAAATAAATTTTTAATTTCTTGAAAACAAAAAATTTCTTACTGACCTCAAACCTTTGAAGAGTTAGTGTAATTATCTCTCCAGTGCAATAGACAGAGGTATTATACTTCATATCTGCAGTCTGTCATTAATGAGTTATAATGTGTCCCATCAGAGGAATCAAGACCTGAGCACCTTCTCTGAAGTGGCACGAGTCCCGAAAGGAACAGATTGGCTGTGGCACCCTCAGATAGTCGCTCTGTACAACCGCATCCTGCAGAACACCGAAACAAACACAGCCACATGTGAGGGAGCGGCGGGAGCCCTGCAGAACATCACAGCGGGCGACAGCAGGGTGAGATACCAGATACGACACTGAACTTCCTCATATTTCATCTAATTTGTGAGTCGTAATCATATGTAACGTTAGGGCTGGGCGGTATACCGGTTCATACCGAATACCGGTGTTTATTTTTCTTATGATATTAATTTTTACAATACCGCAATACGTATGTCGTTTAAACAACGTTCGGAACACTGTTTGAGAGGGGTCCCTTTTCACTGTTAGTGCAACAGTGAAAAGGGTCTCTTAGTAACGCATACAGCGGTGTCCTTGCCACAGTGTGTGGCAAGGACACCGCTGTATGCGTTACTAAGCGTGAAATCTTCGAAACTGAAGCTGTAGAACTAGTAGAACGGGATGATACAAA